CAACGTTGGAAGACTATATCTCGTCAACGGATTAACGAAAAATGAAAATTTAAACGTGAAAATTCATTAAAAAAATAGCCTTATTAATTTATGATATTGTTATTTGTTAATATAGGTTGCCATTTAAAAATCAAAAGTTGATTGTGGTTTACCTAATAAAGGGTGAAAAATATTAAACATTTATATAGTTTTAGAACAGCATAGATCTAAAATTTTGAAAAAAAAAAAATTTGAAAAAAGTAAATAGCTTTTATAAATAATGAGTGTTTTACGCCTCATGAATCACCCTATATTTGTTAATGAATCTTGTAATTTCAACGAAACAAGTAGGAAAAAAATTGTATGAACTAACTTAAGTTTTGCTGTTAATTTATTAAWTATTATTATAATTAAAAATAATTAAATACATTTTTGTAATGTATTTTTAGTGCATATTTTTCGGTCATTGTCATACCTAACTTGTTAGTGTTATAAAATCTGAGTCCTGGTTAATCATCATTACTTTCCACTTTTTGTCTTCCCCTTCTCTACACCATTAAACCATGAATGTTGAGAAATACAAAACGCAAAATGTACTCAGAAAAAAAAACGATATTGTTTGTATATTATATTTTATTGTAATGTCAACGGTTGTAAAATGAACTCCGGAAATGGCCGACCTTTGGAGATTTTTCGGAAACATAATATAATATTTATTGTAAACCTACAACCCGATTATTATACTGGAGTRTACCTTTTTGTTAACCACTTTGTGTGTGTTTTTATTTAAGGTAAACATAGTAATATAATTGTGCCRCCATCGTGGATCGTTAAGTTGCCGCGGAAGGGCAACTTCAAGTCCAGCATTAGATCGCCGAAAAAACGATCGTCCAAGAAGAAAACGAAAGATAAGGTGGGTGTGCGTATATTATATTATAATATAGTTAGTATGAATAAGTAAATCCGATTTACTCGTAATACACTCCTACTATCTATACCTACAGATTATTGTTATTACTGTTATACTATGTTGACCGTTAACATTGTACCACCACCGTTTGCGGTGGTACCCGACCCGCAAAACTGTGCGCATTTACCCGTATCGCTTGTAAATTATTTACACCTTATCTACCCGTCAGTTGGGCTCCGTTCGCTTTTGAGCCGAAACAAAACGTTACGGACTTTTATAAATGAACGTTTATTATTCTCGAGGATCGCGTATGCCATTGTTTTGTTTTCATGCGCATTAGAAAACGGTCGTGTTGTGCACCTTGTAACAGTTAATTAAAACTACTTACATTTTTTATGGGCAAATGCTATATATTATTACAATGCGAGTTTTTCCTTGTTGGAAAATTAATTCATCACCCGCGTTATTCGTACGTGGTGGAGATGTGATACACACGTCATATCATATTGATGGCATTGTTGCACCAATGTGCCTTACTTGCGCAGAGATACTAGAGAGTGGAGATGGTCTTATAAATTATTCCAAAACTTCTATTTTTTTAATAGAAAACTCATAATCGCACAATTCCATAACTATAGGCGATGTCGGAAATACCTACATATTATTATTATTATTATTATCGTTCTACTGCTTACATTCTTTGCTTATGCGCTTTTTATTATATTATAATCATTATCGTTGTCGAAGTAGTATAAAAACCGACTGTCAGTACTGAATATACATACTATATCCAACGGATGCATGGAATCAAATATTTTTCGCACTTAATGTTTATCGAGTTTGAACGCAGCAAATATCATGCCGAAACATTCATTACGCAGCTGTCCCTGAATTTTAATTATCAGTATTGGACAAAATAACACATATTATGTAAAGTACAACTTAAATTCACGAATCTTAATAAATGTACGGGTTCATTGAATTCATTGATATCTAGGTATATTATGCGCAAATAAAATAATTAAAATTATATTTTAGAATTCTTATTCTTATTTTACTCACTCTTCGCTCAAATCAATATATTTTTTTTAGATTTAATACAAAATAAAGTTGAACAAAATTAAGCATGGACGTTAATTGAATTTTCAGTCGTAAAATATGGTTAATTTTACTAGCAAGTTTTATTTCATAATTATTTTAATTTTTTTTAATTTTAACATTAATAATTATACATCATCTTTAATAATTAGGTTAGGTATTGGTGAAATTTATTGATTTTCGAGCAGAAAACGTTTATAAATTTAAACAGCCGATTAATTTTAATCATAGGTATTTATTTTGTACAACATTGTTTCCAAATATAAAACAAAATGAACGGCTCAGGCCTTTTATCATAAGTAGCTAGCTCCAAATTATTTGGGTTCATCCTTGAATGCGTTTCGACTTTATACTATTCCCCGTTTGTGTTTGTTATTTTCCGGGTTTCTTGAAATAATGATAAAACAACAAAATACTTTACAAATGTACCTACATTATTTAAATTGCATGAATATTAATGATCCGGAGTTAATTGCGTTTCAACTTAAATAAAGTGGTAATTTCATAACTGAGATATTTTTGTTTTTTATTCTTCCCTTCTAGTTGGTATTAATAACAGTAGATAGTTGTTCTATTAGATCGCATAAATTCCTAGTAGAATTTTATGTAAAACATTTGTGTTTATTAATCCCAAGAAATRTACTTATATTTGGTTTCAAAGTTATTACACAAACTTTATGGACCAAAGAAAACCCAATAATTGTACCTCACAAAGTTTTCACCTAACCAACCTATTCTAGAAATTCATTGTAAACTTTCTTATTGCCATGGCTTATTCTAATTGTTTTAACATAATGTTCTGCCCTAAACTTCTAAACTGTCTAAAACAGCCATTAGGTACGAAACTACTAACCCAAAGTTAAATGACAGTAACCCGTCTAATCAATTTGGGTAATTCAATTATTAAAAACGTCTACTTTTAAAACATTTATAAATTCTGACGAGAAAAAAGCAACTATTATAATTGGTTTTACAATGATAAGATAAATGAAAATATGATGTTCTCAATTCAAGAAAAAAAACTTTTCAAACGATATCATAATATTAAATAAATAAATGTTAACTTAATATCATTAAGTTCCAGCTTCGGAGCGAATTCAATTAAAAGTTATGGAAAATATTATGTTGTGATATTCATGATTTGAGATAGGTATTCATATATTATAATAAATTATTTTCGATAAATTTCAATAAGTTATTGATGTTTTGGGGAAAAATAATTGTTGATTTTTCCTAAATATGGGTTAAATACTAGGAAATCGGTTGATTGTTCTAGATTACATTGTACAGTACCAGAAATTGAAATTTTATTAGGTATCTATTGTATTATAATCTATATAAAATAAGTGTTTTATATAGTTAAAGCATAACATTGAGTATATTATAGCATTGACTTAATAAATTTCAGTAAAGTTTGATATGATAATTATTATAAAATTTTAAGGATTGCGATAAGAAAACAGTAATTATTTTAAAAAATTAATTTAATGAAATATGTATTATCGTGGATCTTGCATTTAAATAAGACATAATAATTACAAAATCGTTGGAAACTTGGAACGAAATAATATATTAGTGCAAACAAATACAATTACAAAATTCGTTAATATGAAATTTAAAGTTTATAATTCTAATTGAATAATATAGCATACTCGTATTGTAAATTGATTTTGAGTATGGTGTCACGTGACATTTTATTGCACTTGACCGTTATCGAACGATTGAACTAATACATTATAATGTTAATAATATACATAGTGATTTGCCAAGTATACCACCGAGAATTTTACCTTTAGTTATGAATTTATTTAGAGTCAAATTTTAAAATACTTAGAATTTGTATACAATTTAAAGAAAACCAAGTAACGATACCAACATCCTTTTTTAAAATGATAATTGTTTTTTTATATATATATATATATATATAAATTATTAAATCAGATACCATTTTAAAAATATTGATGTATCTAAATCAAATTTCAAACTAATATTTTTATTGAGTTATTCACTTTGTATACTAAGGATAATAGATCCATGGTAAATAATTGGTTCGGAAGGGCTCTGATAAGGGCTCTGATAAGGGCTCTGATGAATGGAATATCTTAATTATTAATATTCATATCCATTGACATTTTATGATTTTTAGAAAATTATGAATTCATATTATACTAAATAGTATTAACTATACATTATTACTATTAAATTGTCTGCTTAATAAACTGCAGCAAAAAGAACAATTCTAAATTTAAAATCATTTTATCACCACTCGTTAAATGGGGTGGGAAAAAAAACTGGGATAATCATGCCTGATTCACACTCTGTATAATACGAGTACATAAAGGCATAAGGCACCGTACGAACATTCATTCATAATAATATTCGAGTGACCTTGAGTGATTTGTGTTTAGTGGTGCTGTAGAAGCTTCGCTGTAGGTACCTACGAATATATGTACATTTTAAACGATTAGTTATTATTTGACAATTTTTTACATTATTATAATATTCGTTATGTCTCAATATTATTTTTACACGTTTTACACAATAAACGAACATCTAATTAAATTTAAGCATAGATGTTTAACAAAAAATACATTTTGCTACTATTAAAATATTATAATATTATATTATACTACATATATTTGCTTTATTTCAAACTATTCAACGAGTGATTTCAACATTGAGATAATTTATATTTTGCAAGATCACTGTTATAGTGTACATAAGATAAAAACGACAAATTCATCTCCGTATTAAGTATCCTACAGTAAGCACATGAGAACTATAAATTATTCGTCTGTTTTTGAGCTTAAAATAAACGTTTTTACTTGTATTAATATTAAAAGCGATATTCCGACATGTATTTTCGGTTGCATAACGAAATACTTGAGGAGATTAGCTTACTTAATACATGCACGCACTAGACACCACAGGTTTAATTTATAATTTATACTTTTGAAAATGAAATCACATTATAATTATAATGTGAATAATTTCTATCGAGTTAAGCAAAAATCCATTTTAAAATATTTGCATCACGCAAAATATTTCATTTCAATTTTCATGAACTCAAATTAGTAATACAAAACTAAAATATTTACACTGCTTGCAAACAATATTATGCGATGAAAACGTGTAAACTTTTTGCACGCTTCGTGTATTATACTATCGTGTTTTTTAGGTTTCATATTTCATGAAATTAATTTAAAATTTAAATCACACGCGACTTGCGTGACCATATAGCAACGCAGACATTTATTTTTAAGCAGATATTTCTCATTACCACTGACCTGTGAATATGTATTATTATTTTATCAAATCGTTTAGATTTTATAAGCACATTTATAGTAGGTAGATGCCTTTTACCAGTTGTGCCTTAAGTTTCACGACAAGGCAATACATATATAATACGACGATTTATTCACATTGGATACCTGGGCTACCTGGAGCATTTAAAACATGAAATATTTTTCACCAAAATACTTGTTGTTAGAAAACTTTTTCCACTTTTTTCGTTTTGAACTGAAAAATAATAAAAACAAAAATTATAAAAACGTTTGTTTCGTGRAAAATGTTAGAGCGCGTGGTTTTGATTTATTTATTTATTTGTTTTCACCTCGAATGCCATACAGTGATATGGAGAATGCGAACTATGCTATAAGAGAAGCCATACAATTTTACGCGTAGGCAATCAAAGCCAATTTCTATAATACTTGAGCGTAGAACATTTTTGTACAGCAAACTGTTGAAAATAATATCAATCATAAAATTGTATTATAGTATCAATTTATGTACTCATATACATGGCGGACAGGCCATTTTTCGCAACAGTAGACACGATATTATCATAATGCTAGTATTAATTTATAATTTATAATAATTTCAGTAAAAGGATTTGGGCACAAATT